AAACTACTTCCCTTCATGTCACTAACCTACGCACAATAATCAAATAGCATTCAAAGTATGTTGGAAAAAAACCTGTGTGTACTATTTTGTGAGAATACAAGAAATAATTGACAGTGGTACATTTTCCTTGCAATTATGTTGTGCAAGAATTCCTTTTTTTAAAACTTACTGCCATTTCTTGAAAAATATACCACATTTTAACATAGTATCTTTCATTATATTAATATTAATAGTAAGAACTTAAGAAGCACATTATCTCAACAGTACATGGTTTGAGCAATTTTTATATTTCAATATTATTCCAATCTGGATTTCAAATTTGTTGTTGCATTGATATGCCTTAAATGATGTTAAATTGCAATCGGAGGAACAGAAACGTGAGAAATTGTAAAGAAGACAATGACAAATACATGAAAATGTACATTTCTAAAGCTTTTCAATGACAAAAAAAGAAGATTTGTTTTAAAGAAAAGAAAAGGAGAGAAGGATGGAGATAAGGAGAGAAGGATGGAGATAAAGAGAGATGCAGAGTATTTGGTGCGACACATTTAGAACTAAGTCAACTTTAAGGAGTGTCATAAATGAAAGGTAAAAAGATGGAAATATGGTTGCATAAAAAAAGAAGGAAAAAGGAAGGAAAAAGAGCAGAATAGAGCCCAAGGCTACGAATCCCGGTCCATATGGCGTTCTATTTTCTCACCACACAAACAAATTCCATGCAAGGTTTGCCAATGCTTCACACAGTGTACGGAGGTGACTATATAATGAGACAGAGAAACTGCACAACAAAATTCATCACAAGATTAGGTCGCTATGGTAACCACTAATGCTTGAATTTCAAATTTGAAATAATCTTTCAAGATTTCTCGAGGTAAACCCAGTTAATTGCATTGCACATCAGTCAGGATTTGGAGGCATGATAATGTCGTTCATAAGGCACTACCTTAACTTATTCATTACACGGCCCAAGAACGATGGAGTTGGGGTATTAGGAAGAAGATGGGAATATCTTCTTGACTCCATAAACTAAATCCATATAAAATGGCCATAATACTGTGGTCCCACTGCCAACATCCCAGCAAATTTAATTCCTGATAACTTATAACCTTTATCTTGAGAATACAGCCAAAACTGTCTTAGTGGCCACCTCCCTATGAAGACCATCTCTCTTTTATAGTGGCCATGTACTACGGCTGTGCATAAGCGTGAAATGATGTACTCGAGTACACTCCTAGGCTTACAGGCGAATACTCGGACGGCATGTTTATAAAAAATACTTTGAGTTGCAGTTGATGGCGCAGATTTAATAATAATAAGAGAAACAATGCTGTTTTTAAAACCAAAGATGACAGACTAATTTTCCTCCGAGTCCAAACAGAAATCCGGACAGTTGGTCCCAGCTTCTGACAGTGATTGAGCTTGGAAACATTTTTACCCACGGTACCATGCCGGCACTCTCCCGGGCACGGGTAAGCGTCGGCCTGGACAGTGCCAGGTGAACAGGGGAAGAAAAAAAAAAGGCGGCAGAGTATTCAAGTACAAGAAATTGTACTCGAGTAGTTGTCAACAGTGCGAGTACTCAAGTATTTGTGTACTTGTCACAGCCTTATGCTACGGTCACAAAGGTTCGTACGAACGATAATTTCGTACGAATCTCCGTTTTTCAGTTCGTAATGGCATTTGTGACCGAGGCTTTAGACAACAGTGGCCAAGTTTTCTGTTTCCCTAGGGTAACCTTAATAAACAGGTTTGACTTTTTACAAATGCCCTTACCCTTATAAAGCATGCAAATTTTCAATCACAACTGGAAATGTAAAATAAATATAAAACAATTAAAATGAGCATAAATCATACAAGCATGTCCTTGGGACCAAGGGAATCACCTTGTTATATATCAGGGTAAAAAAACAAAAGAATATAAAGGACCTGGGACCAGCTAAATCAATTTGTTATAACAGCTACCTTGTTACATCAAAGCTCTTCATAATAAGGTTCTACTGTATTTGAATACTAGAGATTATTTCTATTTCAATCATCCATTTTAAATGTTTTTAATTTTCATCCATACTCTTACCAGCATACAGAAAGTTTAAGATCTTTCTCATATCAGTAACCAAAATCGAATTCATTGTCCATATTTTTGTCTGAAAATTGTAAATTTTATATCTACACTGTAACTTATAAATCAAGACTCAATATGGATAGATGGAAACTAAACATATGTACATGTAGTTAACAGACCTTTACATTTTTGTGAGCAGTAGATTATTTCCATACAGCATTTACTATTACATCATTGAAAGTTAGCATTAATTCAGGCACAAACGAGTGAATAGTTTTTTTGCTTTAATCCACATTATATTTTTTGTTATATCTAGCACACACTCATAATGCAGTTTGTGCACATTCTGGATAAAAGAGATCATCTCCTCATCCATTCACATTGACATGCAAATATCAAATATAATCATTGGTGTGCAGATTTCTACAAACATCACAAGAATTAATTGGGTAGAATTATAAAAGAGGTATGAATTTAACCCACCTTCTACACAATTTTTTTACCCCCCCCCCCCTCCCCCCACAAAATAAGAAAGCATAAATAATTGTACAGAAGCGTATACACTTCCCATTCATGTGTGTGCTATTCATCTAGAGTTTTAAGCCATGGATACACTACTTTCATCTTGAGTAATTACATATAAAAATTACATGGACACTGCACATGTATTAAAATAAAGAAAGAAAGAAAGAAAAAACAGGAGTTAAAGTGAAAAAAGAAGAGGAAAAGGAGAAGGCTTGGAAAGAAGAGATAAGGAGAGGAGGGAAGAGAAAGACGAGAAGGAGGAGAGGGGTACACATGTAGGAAGACAGAAAACATCAACAAAAATTGTCCAAGAAAATGAGTGGTAAATCTTAATTACCGAAGAAAGACTTACAGTATAAGTGTATAAGTTCCAAGAGCAATATGTTCCCAAACCAAAAGGAAAGGGCAAATTAAATGTAGCCTCTCATTAAATCTAGCTATTCTTTGCCAGAGCATCACATTCAGCAATGCTTTTCATACAAAGATTTAAAGGAAAGTTGGATTCAACTTCCAAGAGTGAATTTCCCTTTCTTTCTACACAAGACTGTTTTTCCAGAGATTGTTGATTTTGAGACAGATGGTCATTGACCGTCACCTCTCATCTCCTACTGACTGGGGCCGTAGGGGTTAATAATAAACAATGAACCTTTCATTACCAGCTGGATGAACTAGATGATAGATCAGAATCTAACCCTTTCAATGCTATCATAAACTGGGCCGGAGTTGTTTCGGTTTGTGGGTTTGCCCAAAGTTTTTCCTGATGTTTTAACAAAGTGCGACTATATTTCCAATGACCTCAACTAAATCATGGCAACAAATATACTTTGCATTAAAAATGTTTGTTATAATTATAATGTTAATCTACATCTACACAGTTCAACTTTAGTTGATGCAGTTAAAAACGATTGAGCATCCCATTTGGCTTTTCATATTTAAGTCATTCGTAGAGTCCTGCGTAACTTTATGAACAGCTTTATGAACCCACCCCCAGGTCCTGTCTGTGACCATAGGAGCCAGGACTTAATTTCTCTCATCCAGTGCACTGATTTCTGTGCAAAATTTGTACTGTTGTCTCTCATGTAGGAACATTTTGGGGCCCGACTGGTTTTAAGCCATCAGAACTGGTTTCCAGCCATCGGGACAGTTTTTTTTTTTAATGTGACAATTAGAATAAATACATTCAATTAAAATACATAACAAGTCAGAATTTAGCAAAGACAATATAATCTGGAATTGTAATGGGAAGTTATTCAATTCAGCATGGTGAATTATGGCTAATATCTCATGGAGGAGAGGAATCTATGTAATAGTGATATATTTTGTTTTCAGTTCACTGTGTTCCTGCTCTAACCGGTCAGCAACAGAGTGGGAGAACTGCTGTAAGCATTAGATGACAGATTCGAATTCAACTACTCACCCCTCCATAATACGGTAAACACAAAATTGCTGTAGAACAAAGCATTGATGTTTAACAAATTTGTACTAGTGCATGAAAGAGTTATGCTTTCAAAATAGCAACGAAACAATAATGAGCGCACATGTGCGAAGCGGGCACTCAATTAGTCTCTTCACGAGACTCACTAAGTAAAATTTGACTCATTATGAAATTAATACAATACTGTATACAATACTTCAAGGCTGTATCAGCAATTTGCAACCCATAAGATGAGCTAAGAACCACAATCAATCTAAAAATATTTGAGCAGGAGAACCGCAAACCCTATTACCTTATGATCATGGTATTTAGAGGATATTTTGTCTTGTGAAAACAAAATTAATCACATAGACACAGAAATGGCAATTCACATACATCCTACATTGAGAATGTGTTTCATTTTAACTCTCACAAACTTAAACCTGTGCGAGTTTGATGTCAATTAAAAAGCACAACTAACAAACTTCTACTTCAAAATCCTATGGTAGATTTTTCCAAATTTGTACTCTATTTCACAAGTAGAGTATAACTGTTGAAAAACAATAAACCGAACAAAATGAATAAGAAGCATTTTTGGAGCTGTGAATCAGCTAAGTATCAAATCTACTTCATTTTCACTCTCGTCAACAATTTCATTATCATCAACATCCCCATCATTATCATAATCACACTTATCATAGCCATTGTCATTATCATCATATTTAACACCAATATTACCATCCGTGTCGTCACGACTACTATCATCACTATCACAATCGTGATCATCATTAGTACCATTATCCCTGTCATTATTACCATCACAATCATTATCATAAACATCAACACCTTCACCATTACATTTAATTAAGATCACTATCTCTCTCAGATGCTTTAGCTTTTTTTTCATGATCTTTCATCATCATCATCAATATCATCATCCTTATTGTCAATTCTTTCTTCAATTATAAACCTAAAAGTCAATGACAGGTTTCCACTTACCCTAACTCCTCATAAGCCCTGATATCCCTTGAAGCAAAGAAAGCAATCCTTGGGAAGCGAAGATCCTGATGGTCAATAAACACTCGTACTGGAACTATGTTGGGATCGCATCGATGGTTGATGAAACGGCTTACGTTACCATAGAAACGGGCATCGATGCAGTACACATCACCCTCCTGGAATGAATCATTTTCATAAAAATTCTTTGAATTTGATGAAGAATAACATGGTAAAAGATGAAAAGCATGCATGATCGCTTTGATGAACGATATGAGATGTGCAAGTGTTGTATAAGCCAGGCTTTATAGAGATACCATAATGAACGCATACATCACAGGTTTGTGCTAGTTTGGGGCACTACAATAATCATCATTTGGGGCGCAATACATAAATATCCAATAAGATAATACAATAATCTAAACATATTTCTATACAGAAATATCAAAGAAATCCTACTTTACTATTTGTCATAAATTTAAACACATTTTTTTCATGCACTGTAAATGAAGCCAGTTAAACACATTAATTTTGTTTTATGGTTTCAGACAGACAAGAATCAATTCCTCACAAGCACGCTGTTTTCGATACACAATGCCAGGGGGGATTCCAGAAGTTTATTCATAAGAGACATTGTACTTTCTGCTGTTATAATTTGATAATTTAGATGGATGGTGAAGGAATTTCTTTTCTTCATGTTAGGTAAAATTTTAGGTACGTACAAATTCAATGCAAATCTGTACTGTTGTCTCATATGTAGAATTTTTTTTGACATCAAGGCCCGACTAATTTCTTTTATCTTTGAGCCATCGGGCTTCAGGCTACAGCATAGTTGCTGCAGAAGCAAGTTGCAGGAGCAGTGTCATACAACCATTGCTGGGGGTGTTTCACAAAGATCCTAAGTTGAACTTATCTCTCAGTTGGACTTAACAATTATGGAAAGCCGTTAACATCTTTGAAAATATTTTGTAAAAGTTATTTTAGAAGGCATCAAATGTTGATTTAAATCATTCATATTTTCAATTATCATGGGAGATTTCATGTTCTTGATGGGGAATTTATGAAATGTCTAAAATACTTCAGTTTTTGCTTTTGAATATATTTTATTTTAAGGCTACAAATGGCTCTCCATAAATTTTAAGTCCAACTTAGAATCTTTGTGAAACACCCCCCCCCCCCCTGGTAACTGTTGAAGAAGAGATCACTTACCCTGTTATCAAGGTCAAAGAGGTAGGAATCATCTTGTCTTTGGTCTGCATCAGCATCGGATAAAAGCTCTCCTGCATATCTGGACAAACATACATAAAACAAGGCAAAAACAATATTAAGCTAAGAAATCCTTGATTTCATACAAATACCAAAAGAATTCAATAATCTATTACTTGACATTTTCACAATGCAATCTTTGTCCTGGTTTGTGCTTATCAACACTGACTTCATTGGAGGAACCTGCGGCTCCATATGTTTTTTAAAAACAGAAGTATGGCTCCATATCAATACCGTGAATCATCATCACAATTAGTTAACAGCTTATGTGAACATTACCATAAAATAGACCACCAATGAACTAATGAAAATCCCAATATTTGTAAGAGAAACCTACTTCAGACAAACTAAGAATAAACAATTTATGGATGGTATTTGGTATGGTTAGAAGATTCTTTAAAACAATTTGTTCTTCTCTTTTTCCCCCACATTATATCTTTTATTTTATCTAGCACACTCTCATAATGCAGTTTGTGCACATTCTGGATAAAAGAGATTAACTCTTCATCCATTCACACTGACATGCAAATATCAAATATAATCATTGGTGTGCAGATATTTACAAAAAATGAAAATCGAAAGCCCCCTCCCCCTGCAATATAGCAACTTACAGAAGCGTATATACTGAACGTTCATTAGACATGGGTACAAATGTGTGCTATTCATAAAGAGGTTTAAACCATAGATTAAGATGCACTGCTTTCATGAATTCAGACCCATTGACTGAAGCTTGTTGCCTCACATCAAGTTACAGCGAGTTACATTCTTCTTTTAAAGCAGGACTGCACTACTCGTAGCTACTTGCGCCCTCTATACAGCAAACAATGCCTAAGCGGTACCTGTTGGTCCCCCATGATCCCCTTTCTCTTATGTTAATTGTAAGCTGTTTGATGAGATAACCACCTGCCAGTGACCACACAGGGAGGTCTAATCCCTCCTGGCCAAAGTAGTGCAGACAGGCTTTAATATCGATCAATAACTAATTGTGGAGCGCCAGGCACAGGCGACACCGAATACTTAATAATTATTATTACTATTATTATTTATATACCGCGATTTTCCCAGAGCGGCCCAAAGCGCTTACAACAAGAAGAATCTTACAAAAAATGAAAATGAAAACTTACAGAATCCTAGAAATCTGGATTACAAAAAAGGAATGTTATAAGTCCCTTTTTGAATATTAACTTTAATATCATGAGCGCTATATAAGAACGCACTATTATGATTATTACTTACTCGCATATAAATGATCCCCTAGGCACATCCTGCATGACCCGTACAGCCCATCCCATTGAGGGACTACGGAAGACCTGCATGTGCTTCTTGAGACCGTTCTGGACGACGCGGTTGCGGCAGTTCCTCCAGCACCTGCAGGCTCTACTACATTCAAAGATCATGGGAGGCTCCTGGTAGTTGAAGTCTGGCATCAGACGCCCATCCTAAAAGATAATAATAATAGTTATACTAGTAGATAATATTTATAAGGCACCAAATCTACTTAAAATCAAATGCTCAATGTGCACTAGCACAAAATGATGAAAGAAATGAAAACATCCCATTTTTGGGGGTCAAGAGCAAGAAGGGCACATACAATTTGTCATCCTACAGGAGGGAAATTAAGGAATTGAAAACCTAGCACTAGCTAAAACATTTGTCAAATCTAGAGAAATCCAGGTTCAAATATCAACATTTACCATCAAAGAAATGTGTCAATGTTTTCAAGTCCTACAGATTTGACCTACAGAGCTTCACATTTTTGTTAGCAACAGATAATTTCAATACAGCAACATTTATTATTACATTTTTGTAATCTGTACTAAGTAATCAACAGGTCAAAGTTAGCCATAATTCAAATACAAATTAGTAAATTTGTATTTGTTTTTTCTTCCACATTATATCTTTTTTTTCTTTCTAGCACACTCTCATAATGTAATTTGTGCACATTCTGGATAACAGAGATCAACCCTTCATCCATTCACACTGACATGCAAATATCAAATATAATCATCGGTGTGCAGATTTCTGCAAAAATCAAACCTTGCATAAATTAATGGGATTGAATTAACAAAAGAGGTATGAAATAACCTACTGTCTAAACCAGTCAAACTGCCAAACCAAACCCAAACCGACCAATGCTTGGCCATACAGAATTATTTCATTTTTGCTGTCCTGTTGAGGTAGTGCTGATCTTATTGGTATGAAAAGGATATTTTAAACAGCAGATATTCAAACCTAGTCAATATGACCTGCATAATGTAAGTCAACCATTCAAATGGTTTTGAAGTGATTAGTCTAATTGATTAGACTTTGAAGAGAAATCTTACCTTATCATACCAGCACCTAACACTACTCCGACTACAGGCACACGCTTCACTGAAGCAGTCATCAGCACAGTTACAACCCTGTATGCAGACAATGAAAATAAAGAAACATCAGTTTGGTAAACAAAACAAATAACAAGATTGACAGCTTTTGTTTCCATTCTTTAAAAAAATCTGTTTCATTCAAAACTTCACCAAATCCATGTCGAGACTTATTTTCAGTTTCTATCATGAGGATTTTAGGTCAAAATATTTTGCCATAAATAAACAAGAATTTCTGTTACATGGGATGATGGGATCAGAGTTTAGATTATCTTAATCCCATAAGAGACATCGATCATGTATTAATCTTGCATGGAAATCCCCCTCCCTTGGCCACTGATATGACCAAGCAAGGTCTACAGGCATGCTTCAGTATACTTGATGTAAGTGATCACAGACAAGTTACACAAGCAATGTAGTATCACATATGATGGAAAAGGCCAAAAAGAGATAGAGAGAGAGACAGAGTGGGAGGAAGGTGAAGGGAGAGAGAGAGAGAGAGAGAGAGAGAGAGAGAGAGAGAGAGAGAATGAGGAAAAGAGAAAGAGAAAGAGAGAGAGAGTAAAAACTAGATGGATGTTCGACTGCACCAAGGCTAGGACAAGTCCTCAACATTTGATCCACAGTCCAGGGGCCTGTTTCATAAAACTTGTTATCTATAACAACTGCTAAATTTCTATGACAAATGTGCTCTCAGCCAATCAGATGCCATGATTTCAGTAGCTTATAACAGTAGCTTGTAACATGTTATTGATATCAAGTTTTATGAAACAGGGCGCAGGAATGTATCAACAAGACAAAACTCTTTTATTATATGAAACAAAATATAATCTAGTTCTGACCTGCATGTGTTTGATGTTTCTATCTATGTTAAGTCTTGACGTCTCACAGTTGTTTTTGACGTAGAGAAAGTCTGTTGGGACGCCATCGTTGTTGACTGAATTCACGACAGGGATCGGGATGTTCTCCAATCCATGAGCTATATCTCTGTTCAAATAAAAACAATATATTATTATTAGTATGTATTTGGCATCACCTGAGCCTGGGAGGCGAAAATCAAACTGAATCACTGTAACACTCGGGTCTCTCCTCTTGGAATAACTGATTGGGATTTTGCAGGTGGACCACTACACCAGGGTTTCCCCATACTACTCTTATAAAAATAGTACAGTGAGCTCATAACGTGCAAAGGTGACGACTCTCCTCTTCACGGGGCCTCCATTTAACGTCCTATCCAAGGGACGGATATTGATATCATCACAGGTGATGGACATGAAAAGGCAGTACATTTTGAGTTCATTTCAGTGTAGGGGTGTCATAGTCAAGTGGTCTGATCACTTGACTGGAGGTGCAAAGGTCGTGGGTTTGATCCCTGATCCCTGTATGACGGTTACCGGGTATGTCCCTGAGCAAAGCATTTTATCTAATTGCCTATGCCCTCACGGCGACCTTATGGTAGGAATACTCCCCAGGGAGTGGAGATGGTGCATATTGTGCGTGAATGGATCCGATGACCGGGGTAATAATATTTGTAAAGCGCTTAGAGATGATGTACCGTAGTAAGCGCTATATAAATCCAAAATATTATCATTAAGCATGTGCAATGGCTAAATTGGCTGAAATGTTCCCTAGGGAAGTAGAGCGTGTGTCTACTGTAAAGTGCAGACTCATAACAGAATCAAGTGACCAAGATAATTATACTGTAAACACTTTGGTCCGTTACGTTGTGACTGGTAAAGCGATTTATAAGAAACAATTGTGTGTCACAAAACCATATGGATACGACAAATGCAACTTGTATTATATAACTAATACGGTATGTGGTGGAATATTTAACGTCAATAGGCCAGAGTTAATCTTCTTATTTCCAAACTGCCCAGCTTAAAAATGGATGGCTAGGAAAGGGCATGATCCAGTCGTTCTCAGAATATAACAATTATTTCTTGATACACTTATGGTCAACACAAACGAATCTTATTTCCAAACCTTCCAAACCGGTCGACACTATATGGGCTCCAAGATTTGTTCATTGTTAGTGAATTCACAGTAAAGCTCGCAGAGAGTCTAGCTAGCTGTGCCTACCTCACAGACAATCAGACTTTTGATTATTTATTGCTTTGCCTCACTATTTATAAAGGCAAAAAATAGAACTGAATAAATACTGAGAATCAAACCCACAACTACAACGCTCTATTACGCTGTCCTTACCAATTGAGCTAACGATGGGTTGATGATAGGTGGGTTTGCATGATTATTATAACCATATCATTAACCCAAACGGTTACCATGTGCACATTCGCAGATTTAGCTAGCTAGCTAGTATTAATGAAAGAATCTTGAAGCCCATATAGTGTCAACCTCCCAAACACTGCCCTCACATACCTTGATAGGATGACCTCTGACCTGATGTTTCTCCTCTTGATGGCCATCTTCATGCGGATATTAGCTTGGATGGCAAGATACACATCAGACTTTGGTCTTGAGCAATCCAGAGCAAGCTCATTCTCATTGTTTTTAATCGTCACATCTGCATGGCGTACCAGCAGTTGCCTGCATGAAAACAGTACACAGTATTTAGTACATGGGACTGGTTTGTAGTTGTGGAGTGTATCAAACATTTAATTTACCCTATGCTTGAGGATAATTATACATATGAATATACTCTATTAAGCTTTACTTCACCTTTATTAATCCTATTTCAGAGTAAGACTTGAATATGACACATGAAAGAGCTGATTATTTTGTTGCATCAAATCCATGGTTCAATCTCGCACACTCTCATAATGCAATTTGTGCACATTCTGGATAAAAGAGATAAACTCTTTATCCATTCACACTGACATGCAAATATCAAATATAATCATCGGTGTGCAGATTGTTTACAAAAATAAAACCTTAATCTGATATAAACAGCATTTAGATAGAACCCTTTCTCACTGGAACCAAAATAAAGCGTACTACAAAAATCTCAATCAAGGTATAAAAGTACAAGTAGTAAGAAAAGCAACGTCATTCATACGAAAGGTGAAAATTTCCTAAGGACTGTTACTCATTGTAACAAAAGATTTTTCATTCCTCAAAAAAAGTTTCAGATTATAAGATTTATTCTAACAGAATAGTAGAAAATATTGACAGAATAAGGAAACAGCAACAACCATTTTGGATGTAAATTTCATAATTTTGAACGAAACATGATTAATAATCTTTACAGATACTTACATGGCACATCCATAGTGATTCTCCCTCGCTGATATATGCCTGTCAAAGGAAAGGAGACAAGACAGATACAATCATTTCATATCTTACAGAAATAATTGCTCCCTAAAAATTACATTAAGACAGAGTACCAGCTGCTGTTGGCTGATGACAAATAAAAAAAATACAACTCTTTTTTTCTTCTTCATTTTCATAGAATAAGATTTTAAAAACTTCTAATCTTTGGGAGGGGGTACTGTCGTATGTTCTTTCAACCCCAAAATGCTGGACTTGAATCCTGCCTGATATTTTATTACCCCTAGAACCAAGTTGATAGTCAATCTTATTTTGGTGACCTTTCTATGGCATATCTTTGTATTGATCTGACACTCTCATAATGCAGTTTGTGCACATTCTGGACACAAAGAGATAAACTCTTCATCCATTCACACTGACATGCAAATATCAAATATAATCATTGGTGTGCAGATATTAACATACATACAGGAATCTAACAGGGAATACTAGTTGTTCAACTTGTTGTTTTGACTCAAATGAATGAAAGACTGACAAAAGTAGAGGTTAATGGGACTACATCACATTGATACTTACAGAGGTGTATCACCATGAACGTTGAGTGCATTGAGATGGTCCGTGTTATCTTTGTTATTATTCAAGAAGACTTCCATCACATCCTGGCATCCTGAGTATGAAGCCCAGTGAAGACCAATGTTCTGCTCCTATAAACGTTCAAATATAAACATGTTGAGTGAAGTTAGGAACATGAGTTGGTTTAGTACATATCAATGGCGCCGCTCAGTGGCTGCCGTGCTCACGATCAATTGGGCAAAAAGAATTTCTGTTTCGGTTTAATACAAATTTGGAGTGGACTATTAGGCAATTATTAATTATTAATTATTATTATTATTATTATTATTATTATTATTATTATTGTTGTTGTTGTTGTTGTTGTTGTTGTTGTTGTTGTTGTTGTTGTTGTTGGGCAAAAAGAATTTCTGTTTCGGTTTAATACAAATTTGGAGTGGACTATTAGGCAATTATTAATTATTAATTATTATTATTATTATTATTATTATTATTATTATTATTGTTGTTGTTGTTGTTGTTGTTGTTGTTGTTGTTGTTGTTGTTGTTGTTGTTGTTGTTGTTGTTGTTGTTGTTGTTGTTGTTATTGTTATTATTATTATTATTATTATTATTATTATTATTATTATTATTATTATTATTATTATTATTATTATTATTATTATTATTATATGAGAATCAAGCATGTCCGTTCCACCAAGAGCTACTTGGAAAATGATTGTACATATCTGAGAAATAAATGAATCAACTGTTAAGCTCTGCTACAGTCAACATTGATCTTATTGCCTCAGTCACACCTTTGCGTATTGCTGCATATTTATGGCAAGCCGTTTTAACATTTATTCCAATTTCTTGATATAAACAATTACCATTGCTTTAAGACAGAAAGTCATTTCTTGATATCAATAAATATGAATAAATGTTAGAATGGCTTACCATAAATACACAGCAACACGCAAGCCAAATATGCATAGGTGTTACTGAGGCATAACTCTCATGGAAATTGAATCATTCAAACAGTATATGTTCCATTTTTACTAACAGAAATATGGAACCTATAAATGAAAGGTAACTTACAATCCCTAAAACCCAGATAACAGTCAATCTAATTTTGGTGACCTTTCTATAGTTCACATGTTATATCTTTTGAATAATCTGACACACTCTCATAAAGCAGTTTGTGCACATTCTGGATAAAAGAGATCAACTCTTCATCCATTCACACTGACATGCAAATATCATATAAATATAATCATTGGTGTGCAGATATTTACATAAACAGGTTTCTTGGCCATTTGGTGTAATGTAAATAATTGTTTGGTTTGTTGTCGGTTTGGTGTTGGGCCTTGTTGGTGAAGAAGAGGAGAGGAGAGGAGAGGAGAGGAGAGGAGAGGAGAGGAGAGGAGAGAAGAGAAAGAGAAAGAGAAGAAAAGCGAAGAGAAGAGAAGAGAAGAAAAGCGAAGAGAAGAGAAGAGAAGAGAAGAGAAGAGAAGAAAGAAAGAGAAGAGAAGAGAAGAAAGAAAGAGAATAGAAGAGAAGAGAAGAAAGAAAGAGAATAGAAGAGAAGAGAAGAGAAGAGAAGAGAAGAGAAGAGAAGAGAAGAGAAGAAAGAAAGAGAAGAGAAGAAAGAAAGAGAAGAGAAGAGAAGAGAAGAGGAAGGAAAGGTGATTACCTTATCCCTGACGAAGGGATCCGCTCCATGTTCTAGTAGATACCTGACCGAGACAGCATTCTTATAATCAGCTCCCCAAATAACAGGTGTCCAGCCACCATTATCCTGCAAAGTGTTTGGAGCAATAATACAGACATTTGGAGCGTGCTCGATCATTTAATATTTCTATGCATATTATAATTATATTATAGAGTTAGCAATTTATAGCAGCCAAGGATGATTATTTGGCAATTCATGAATTCAGGTAAGCCAAGATTGTTATTACAATGGTTTTAAATACGTGACCGCTAAGAGAGCATGTGTGTGCTTGTAAGTAAGCAACCATGGGACCGACGGCTGTCAGTCCTCTCTGAGGGACTTGGTAATGAGGATTAATGCGTTACCAAAGGACTCAAGCTCAATGACTTGGTTTCGAACTGGGGATCTCCTAGTTATGAGACCACTGAGCCACAGATCCTCCATTAGACAGCATACCAATGCCTTTCCAAAGGGCACTAGCGCATCGACTTGGTTTCGAACCCAGGATTTCCTAGTTATGAGACCCCTGCTCTACCACTGAGCCATCAGGCCTCCATCAGACAGCATTCTCAGTATATATATCTGTAAGGCGCTTTGATAGGGCCCTCCTGAAAAAGCGCCATATAAGAAATAGTTATTATTATTATTATTATTCTTTACTTTAGTGGGTAAATTAATTGATGTCTTGGTACAGGACATTGTACAACAGTTTAAGTTTTTATTTGGACAAGTTGATCCATTATCAATTCACACATCTACTTCAATGCATTTTGTGATGTATTTATTTTATAGAGAAAATTCATGTTCTTTTGTAATATACTCAAGTTTTGTAGCTACCTGTAGATTGAGGTCGATCTTGTTGAGTGTGAGCAGATAGCCAAGCATGTCCATGTTGCCACTCTTTGTTGATATGTGAAGTACTGTGGATCCTTCATCATCCTGTTAAATCAAACATATTTTTTAAAATAATTGTTGTCTATTTGTGAACAAAAGCCACTTCAAGTATCAACACAGAATCGTTGACAGTCAGTCACACCAGCAGTCCTTGTATTAAAGGAGGGTCCAAAATAGGCTTTCAAATTGGTTCATTGCAGCTCAGATGATCCTATGTTTCATTAACCTATTCAAAAAACAAAAAATCACCTAATGAAGACAGGTTGCTCACCTGATAGACTCTAGACTTCAGATTCTAGAATAAGGATAAGTAAGTCAAATGATCTATTTCACATCCCTGATGCAATCTACACAATATTTGAACAATATTACACAGAAATAGGATTCGCATTGCAAGGATCTGATAAAACTCTTGATCTTTGTATAGTAGGTATAGGATGTGTATAGATACCGAGTTTTCTTACCTTATGATTGACATTAGCTCCACAGGTGACCAAGTACTGTACACAGCTGAGATTGGAGCTGTCTGCTGCTGCATGCTGTACATCAAGAAATGAAAATGGGAATTAAACAAGTTTGAAAAAAAGATGATAAAAATAATATATTCTGGCATTATATAGCACTTAATACTAAATAATGTCTCCAAAGGGGGTATCTAACTGAGCGGCGAATGCTTATGGGTGTTGTGAATTTGGATTTGCCAACTTTGGAATGTTGGCGAAAATCAGCAACTATTATTGACTCTAAGCAAATGTTAGTGACAGTTTTTGCGAAGATAAGCAACTATTAGCCAATCCTTTGCCACTATTTGTGTATGTGTGGGACCTTCTGTTAACTCCTGGTTCTCGATGGGTCGATGTTATATAGGAACCATATGGCAACATGGTTGCTAGCATTGGCGAATCAAAAAGAACTTCAGTGACACCGTCTTACAAACGTTTGCAAAGGCTTACGACTATTTTGCAAACAATTGCAAACGTTTGAGGAAAAACAAATAAACTTCATTTTGAAACCCCAAATTTGGTACGTTCGCAAGCATTCGTCGCTCAGTGAGATACCCCCTTAGGGGCTTTAGAGATATATTCCCCCTCCCTAGACATTTGATACTTACCACTGGTGTAGCTAGGTTTGCATCTACGGCATCAATGTTAGCACCAGATTGAAGTAGAAGACAGAGGATATCAAGGTGACCTTTAGATGCTGCGCCATGGAGAGGCGTCTCAAGGTTATGAGCTGGGAAGCGGTAGTTAGGATCAAATCCTTCACCTGTAAAACAACAACAAAACATGAGAATTCAGTTTCTTTCTTCTTTATATAAGGCAGGAAAAGTTCATATTTCACAGGTGTGTACATTACATCTCAAGTACAGTCCTGCTTTAGTGACCACCTGTCTGCAAAGACCACCTGTCTTCAAAGACCACATTTCTTGTTTCCCTTGAAAATGGTTTTTCATTGAAACATGTACTATAAGGACCTGTACATAAAGACCACCTGCCTACAAAGAACACTTTTCTTGTCTCCCTTGGCTGGTCTTTATAGACAGGTTTCACTTTATATACTTTGCATGCATGCTTAGATGCTTCTAAATAAAGCCCATTTCGGCATATTTTCTATTGAGGGCCAGAATAGTGTTATCTCATATACTTTAACACAGACGTAACATCCTTCTACTCTCAACCGGTGCTATATTAAAGAGATGGTTGAGTTCTGGGAAGAGGTGAAAAATAATTTGTGAATATTACTCATTCTTATTATGCAAGTATGGAAAAACATCAGTTAAGACATGTTCCCTGAAAAACATGGCTTTTCAAACGCCTTCATATTCTAAATATGCATGTAACATCGTAAAAATCGGGGGGCCGGCTTTTTACGCCACGTGTTCGTGTAGTCCCATATACATCTTTCTGTGCAAGTGTTTGTAATTTTACAAAGACTTGGCCAAATTTCTTATCATTTTGATGATTCCAGAACCTTGCAATACACACAAATTCTTATATGCTAGATGATCAACCTTTTCTGGTTGGTTCCACACCGTTTCTTTCACAATGCAATCGCATGACCAGAATTCAACTTCATCTTTAACTGAACATGTCAGTGATATACACATACCAATAATAACATGCTCTTTAAAATCCCTTTATGCTAATATTATCAAAGGGTTTACTTATCTAAACAGAGACGAGAAAGATATTATATTCTTCATTTTGCAAAGTTTAATCAGTGGTAACTGAAGATAGTGAACACTTTCTTCAAATGAAGGCACTTTATTCTAAGACTTTCTGCAGGCCTTGCTTGGTGCAACAGTCTTTGCCAGGGTTGGTCCTCCTGAGCTACGGACAGATCAAGCTTCTTGTTTAAATAGCAGATTTCAGGGTCTAAAGTTAAGATTTAGAAGCCTATGGGAGTGTTTCACCAAGACTAAGATCAACTGTAAGTTGGACTTAACTATGACAGGCCGTTCATGCCACTGGTTACTCTCACTATTGGTCTCTCAATTACGATCTTTAGAAAGGACTTTGAAGAACAATGGGGATATTGCAATATCCAGCAAACCTGTATAGGAGGGGCTACTTACTAAGCATTTGTAAGACTTTCTCCATTTCTCCATTTGAAGATGACATGTAGAGATTCTTAGGATGAAACCTCTGTCTCCTAGGGCTGCAAGAGTATGACAAGAAATTAAAAGGAGAGAGGGTTTAAAGCCTGTCTGTACTAGTTTGGCCAGGATGGATTAAACCTCCCTTCATGGTCACTGACAGGTGGTTATCTCATCAAATCAGCTCTCAATTAACATAAGAAAAAGGGGACCATAGGGGACCAACTGTCACCACTTAGGCATTGTTTGCTATATAGAGGACACAAGTAGCAACAAGTAGTGCAGTGGGCTTTATATTAAGTGCATTTGATGATAAATAAGTAACCTTGTGTCAGATTGCTTTCAAAGCAGTGTAAAATTGGTGCAAGCAATGCCAACATGGACAAATATAAGAATCTAAATACAAATTTACAATCCCTTCGCAGTTATTATCTTACACACTCTCATAATGCAATTTGTGCACATTCTGGATACAAAGAGATAAACTCTTCATCCATTCACACTGACATGCAAATATCAAATATAATCATTGGTGTGCAGATATTTACTGATACAGGATTCCTGATACGGATGTACCGGTAATGTATTTTTTTGTGGGTTTGGCATCGGTTTGGCGTTGGGCCTTGTTGTGATTAGTTATGATTCTAATGACAAATATTCTGCAGCTTCTAACGATAGATAACACTTTGGCACACAGTTGACACACTTCTAGTTAAGTCGGACTGAAGTCTTTAAGGTCACAAGTGCCAACATGTTGTATGAACTGATATAAAAACACCATAAGTGACCTGGTTTACAGGGTGTAGGAACTTACTTGACAGGGTCTAAGAACTCTAAAGCCTTCTCTAAAGTCTCCTGTGAGGGACCGTCTGGCAGTGATGCTGTTAAGAAGAAAAATGAGAAATACTAGAATTAAAATAGGTAAACACAGCAAAAGAAATTTAATTAGGGCAGCATTCACAAAACCATCACAAGTACAAGTTTCGCATACATCCCAATGAAAAGCCTGTACTAGATTTGGCACCTGTTTCAATGGGATGTCCACGAACTTGTACTTAAGAGTGTTTTGTGATCCCAGAAGGATAGAAATAGCTAATTTTGTGGTGAGTTTTCAGTTTCAAGAATTATACTCTTTTGTACTCCCATAAGAAAATTAACTTTTTTATTCACCATGCGTCGATACTGTGGACTGCCCCATCGTTCGGACATTAACATATTGGGCATGTGCCCTGTACATGTGACAAATGACTACTTTGGCAATTCACTGGTTGTTCCACTGGTCGACTTATACCAGTAAAGGGTTAAGAGAAATAAAGCTCTTTACCTGTGGAAATGACAATGCCATTCTTCAGTGTGAATTGCTTCATAGCTTCCTGACTTTGTTCCTCAACACCGTTCTCTGTGGGTTGTCCTTTGATCTTCTTATTTGATGAGATTCTTGCTCTGCTGATATGAAAACAAGATAAATGAAATATCATTAGGTGTCTTACAAAAAGCTTACACTGCTCTAGTCTTATGATATGCAACTTGTAGTGAACACCTTAGTGGAGTAAGCAGTTGTAGGTTCATCAAGCTCTAGCGAGCCCTAGGACCTGTTTCACAAAGTTTTTGTCAATGACATATGTCAAAACTCACAGACAAATCTGCTGATAACCAATGAAAAGCAAGGATTTCAGTAGCTTATAAAAAATCTGTCATTTGTCACAGATGACAACTTTAGTGAAATGGTGCCCTGGTGTTCAAGTAAAAATAATACAGGGCTCCACAGAAACTGTTTTCACATCAGGGTATGGATTGACATCATTAGCAATTGCACAGGCTCCCTGTTTAAATTGCAAATGTCAGGGCCTGAAGTTAAGATTTAGAAGCCTATGGGAGTGTTTCACCAAGACTAAGATCAACTTTAAGTTGGACTTAACTATGCCAGGCCGTTCATGCCACTGGTTACTCTCACTATTGGTCTCTCAATTGTGACCTTTAGACAGTATTTTTTCCTTCACTAATGAACTATCAAAAAATGTAAGTTCTGTAGATTTGTGGCCACAATTTATACGTCCCTTGAGAGACCAATGCCAGTAAATGGTGAGAACAACTAGTGGCATGAACGGCCTGCCATAGTTAAGTCCAACTTAAAGTCGATCTTAGTCTGTGTGAAACACCCCCCCCCCCCACAAATGTGTACTTGGCCTCTATCGGCATCAAGCCCTTCCTAATGGCGATCATGCTGGAAGACAGTTCCGCTGGATTAATTATTTCCCAAGCAGCAAAGTATTAGTTATATGTACAAGAATTCAGTTACCCTGGTGGAACATACTTTGGTACTTTGCTCCGGCCAGCTTCCATCTCTCCAGCCCTTGGTGTATTGCTCAGGACCGACCCCGAGATCCCCGTCAGCGTCTGCAGGAGTGCCCTGGGCAGCTTGATCTGACCGTAGCTCAGGAGGACCGACCCTGGTAAGGTCTTCATCTTCTCCAGCTCCGGTGTGGTGGGGAGTTTGACCTCCTTGGCGAAGGTCGCATCGTCACCGCAGTGGGGGCAGTAGAGGGTGCCTTCGATCTCTCGGATGCACTCCTTGTGGAATGTATGATGTATCTTCTCAATGGTGCATGACATGACTGTACCCTGGTAGATAAAAGTGATCAGGACAGAAGTATATTAACCCGTTGACTACTGACTTCTGTAATTTCGTAGCTTAATACAGGGAACACCCCATTCCCATGGAGGAACACCCCATTCCCAAGCAGGAACACCCCATTCCCATGGAGGAAGGGTTAAAGTGTATCAATCACCTGATGAAGAAAAAAATTGTGTGTAGCGAGAACGTCTAAAATCAACCTTAAAAAAAACCTTCCCTGGCATTCTACACGATAACAGTTAAGGACTATGAAGAAAATAAAGGATAACATGCAACAGCACGAAAGGAACCCAAGTCCAACTTGGTTTCATGCGCACCCTGTACACGTGCGTCAACTAGTCTACACAACAAGGCGTTTTTTTGTTTACAGAGATGCTGTGTCACATAACAGCACCAGTTTTCCAGTCATAAACATTTGAATGTGTAAAATGTTCCAGAAACATCATGGGACTACGACTGCAATATACAACTTCTTTGACTTATCAACTGTAATCTCCTTGAGATCTGGATGTAGGAGGACTTACCGTTGAACAGAAGCATCCACAGCCTGGGCAGCATTTATGTTCCAGCATCTTCCCTCTGTCAAATAACAACCAAAAAATAAGAATTTAAATCTTTCTGAAAAGCTATTTTTGACTGGTTATATCATAGTTGATGGATTCTTGGACAAGCAGGATAATGAACAAAGTAATGAAATCATTAACTGCAAAGAACTTTACAATGTGCATTATCACATGAATAGAGACTATACACTGTAGGTAAAGACTACTGGCTTGATTTTTATTATATCCCTTTTCCAATTATTCCACTATTATACATTTTCTACAAGAATCGTTTGGCAGGTATCCAATTGAATTTCATTTTTTTATTTTATCATCCAATTGCGGTCTTGAACAAACTTGTTTGATTTTTGTGAGAAATCATTTTCTGCCATCACCAGGACGCAAGACTATGTTTAAATCCTTGTTCAGATATGAAGCGATAAAAAGCTAGCATGAATTTTGTTTCTTTCATTTATAATTACATTAATTGAAATACGTTTTATGTTATTCTATCTTATGACAAAAAGCTCAGTAAATACGCATAGGGCCTTTGCTGTGCGCAGTTGCCATTACTTTACACATTTTTTTTGTTTAAACCGCTGCAGTTGACCTGCTCATATCTGAACAACCCTTCAGAAAGACGTTTCTCATGGAGACACGTGCTAACTTGCCTGTGATCAGGGCAGAGTGCTCTGTATGGGATTCTAGTAGATGGTCTTAATACAGTCATAGACTCGACCTTGTTCCCACAAACAGCAATCTATATAGAGAAGAACATGGAGAATATCAACAAGTGAAGAGGGTATATGAGGCTGTTCAATAGACCTGTTTAATAACATATTCAAATTTATGGATGACAAGTTATTCCATTCATCTGTCAATAATGAATGAACTGCAATACTTAGAATTCAGTCTGCATTCATAATTTGTTGCTAAGTTAGACAACCTTTGGGCAAATTTTCAGGTTGTCAAGAACAACCGTTGTACAAAAAGTATGCTTAATATTTGAATGTGTTAGTAAATCGGTCTATTATAGCACTGTAAAGGACCAATTGTTTATCTAGGCAAGTATTTTAGACAAGTCTGGCATGTGTACTTGCCGATACTGAGGAAAAAAGAAGATGACCGATTCTCATACAGTATATAACTAGCATTCTTTCAAGCATATCCTCTCACTGAGCCAAGCATAACTAAGTTAATAAACAGATAAATAAGTATTATGTTTCAATCATAATGATTTTTTTTTTAAACACATATTTGAAATTCAGCAGACAAAAGTAGATTTCAGCCATTTCATTCACCTGCTATGAATATTGTCATCTCTACGGATAGAATCAACTTTGCATTCATTCGTTGTTGCTTTGTTGGGCAATCCTCAGGCAAGCTTCATAGTTGTCATGAAAAAATTTGTTCAAATAGTATGCATAAAACTAGTAAACAGGTCCATTTAATCTGTACACGCTTACATTTCCTTTGACAACTTCTAAAGCCTCACAGGTCGTGGCTACCACAGTGGCAGGCCTCTGTTGCTCCATCTTGCAGCAACATAAGGGAGGTTCCAACTAGAAATCAATAAATACAATGAGAATGTATGAATATCTTGAAATTATCTTGCAGCAGCATAGGGAGGTTCACAATAAGAAGCACAAAAAATGTGAGCATATAGAAATATTATGAAGTTATCCTGCAGCAACACAGAGGAGGATCCACGTAGAAATCAATAAACACAATGAGAATATTATTTTTATTATTATTATTTATTCAGCATTCAGACGAAAAAAGAACATATAACAGATGTCCAGGCCCACGCTTACCCGTGCCAGGGAGAGCGGCAGCCGCTGGCATGGTACCGTCGGTAAAAATGTTTCCCAACTCAAGCACTGTCAAACTCACCTTTCAGAAACTGGGACCAAATGTCCAGATTTCTGTTTGGACTTGGAGGAAAATGGATTATTCTGCCATCTTTGGTTTTTAAAACAGCATTGTTTACTGTTATTCTTCTTATTAAATCAGCGCCTTCAACTGCCACTCAAAGTAAAATTGCATGCGTTTTCGGTGAGGGACCTGGGAAACTGCCGAGTGGTATGGTAGTGGCCAAAAAAAAAAAAAAAAATCAAAAATCAAAAAATTCAAAAAAAAATCGAAAAAATCAAAAAAACATTCAAAAAAATTCAAAAAAAATTCAAAAAAAATAATAAAAAAACATGGCGTCCGAATATTGGAGTATTCGCTTGTGAGCCTGGGAGTGTACTCGGGTACCTCATTACACTGTTGTGCACAGCCCTATTGCATTTCCATAATTTTTTCACTGGCTGCCTGCTGTAGCAACAAACAACACACTCTGTTTCGTTGACGATCAGCCATGCATGAAGTCTTACGACTTCTTCGTTGTTAGGGCAGACGGCTAGTTTTAGGGCTTGCATCTCAAAGTTAAACAATGCCTTTAAGGACGCCTCTCTAGCTCAAAAGTCCAAACAATATCTCCCTTGAAATAGACTATGCAATAATAGCGGCTTCACCTCCAGTTAGGTCAAAATTTCCATGACTGTTCTTATAATTCTAAGAACTTTTATGAGATTTTTGACATTGCTTTTACATTTTGACAGATGAAGATAGACTTACCCCACGTTTTGGATTGTCTCCGGCAGCATCTGGGAGAGTAAGAACAACTGGACCTTGCTTCTCTAAAAGATAATAGATAAGGTCTACAATTAATTATTATTCAAAAAAGTAAAAGGAGAGAGGGTCAAAGGGAGTGTAGCATGACAAGACTACGTGTCTTTCCCATGGCCTGGCCAATCAGGTATAAAACGACTACGGACGACGTAACCGCAGTATTCAAGTGCGTGCAACATACGCAAAACCGAAGCGTGAGGAGAACTTTAGTCTGTTTCGCGAACGCTAGCCTGCGCCGACCATTAATCAAGGTCCATTCGTTTACGTGCAGTTGTCCAAAAGAAGTAGTAGATGGCGTTAACCATTATTTGCCATGCTGCACCTCCTTTAAAATCAGGGTATTTGATGATAAATAAGTAACCTTGTGTCAGATTGCTTTCAAACCAGTGTAGAATTTGTGAAAGCAATGTCAACATGGACAACTATAAGACATCTAAATGAAAATTTACATTCTGTCATAGTTATTATCTGACACACTTTCATAATGCAGTTTGTGCACATTCTGGACACAAAGAGATAAACTCTTCATTCATTCACGAATGAAACACACCATTCCATGTTCCGACTTTCTTATAACTTTGATAACTTTCTTATGTTTAGTCAGATTTAATTGAAACTTTCATCAGTTTCTTCTTTGATTTTTCTGCTTTCTTTCAGGGCAGTTCTCTATTTGGGTGAGATTTCCCTTTACGTGTGGAGCCCTGCCTTTCTGGATGTACTTCCTTGATTCACAAGGTTTGAATGAACTCACCTCTTCTAGCATAGCTGTGCTCTGCCCCTGCTTCCATACCGTTTGATCGACGCATCCTCTTACCCCGAGCTGCATCCATGCTACTCTCTGATTGATGGTCTGTGGAATCTACAACAAGAAATAAGATTTCTTAAGAATATCATAATAAATTACAGGTTTAAAGGGATCTGGTAACTTTGTCTAAGATTCTTTAAAAAAATTCTTGATTTAACTCATGCTCCAATAATAATCATAAACCTTTAGGGCAGTCAGGAACCCCAGGGAATAATTTTCCTGGTATCGCATCGCAATTTGCTATGCATTTTTGCATGATTGCTATACAAAATATCTTTTGTGTAGCAGTTTTCTTCCATAGAAATGTACAGAATTTCATTTGAAATATTTATCCATCAGCTGAAATTGCTAATCAAAAAATTTGAGGAAAATTATTCCCTGAACCCCATGACTTTTACAAGCCGATCACCTGTCTGATTATCAAGATATTTATGATTGAAAATCAAAATCAAATTTTGTGTTTGCCAAACGGTTTTCATAACACTACAGTCTATAGGGGAAAATGAGTATGGTAAAACCAGTCACTCAAAGGTTTTACTTTTTGGAGGCACTTCTTGATCATTTTGAAGCGCAATTTGTGTAGGGCTTCAATATAACACTATATCACAGACGCTGATAACACGTAGGGCCGTGCATCTCATATTTAACATTGTTAAACGATCCCTTTAACCCGTTGATTCCTAAGTGTTCTCTTTCCTTGGATTTACACAGGAAAAAGAACAATATGCCTTTGTTCTATAACGTATATCACATTATGATGATATGTCTCCAGGTGCTTCAAAAGAACTTTGGATATCATTACATCGGCTTTAGCTCCGGCAACCTTAGTGCACAGTGAATTATTAAAAAATACAAGAAAAAAGGAAGGCATGTTCACAGAGGATATTGCCTTTCTTTCTTGTACTCACATAAGTATATCAAGGTCCATTTTGCACCTTAGGCAAAAGGAAAGTCACAAGTGCAAGGGGAAACGAGCATTATCAACTTATCAAAAAAAAATGAAGTTTTGAAAAACACTTTGCTTGGTACTTGTTTTCTCTGATGTCGTACACTTTCCATGAGAAATATGCTTTGTTAATATTAAACTTAAGTATGATCACAAATATGATCAAAAAGGCAAATCGATACACTAATCATCTGCAAATAAACATGCTTACCAGAATCTGAAACATTCTTTTGCCTCTTCCTCCTCGAGTGTTGTCCAAAGTGGGTTGGCTTTCGCTGTCTTGTACTCCGCTTCACCGACATTCCTTTAGCAAATGCAGCCCTATCTGGAATCATGGACCCAGCATTCCCAACTGGAAAGTCTGCGACGGGAGTGGAAGTGCCAGATAACGATAGATGCGACTCTGCTGCCGTCCCTGCCACTGGCTCACTGGCAGATTGGGTTTGAAGCTGTTCTTGATCAGACTGCTCGGGAATGTGTCCAGGGCTTTTGGCAGTAGAGCCGCTGGTTTTGATGGAGGCTTTTGCTTTGGTATGTGAGGTTCCTGCAGAGAGTGGGTCTACATGTACATCTACTGTTGATGTGTCCATCAGGGTTTTTCTGCTTGCAGCACCAATGTCCATGGCCTCCTCACCACCTACATGGAGTTGGACCACTCTTTCAGATTGAGATTTCACATTTTTAGCTCTGGCATTGGCAGATTTTTTACCATCTGGCTTGTCAACAGGCACTGATTTTCTGGCAGATTTACCTGAATTTGATGAAGGCACTGAAGAACTACTCTCTGAGCCCAAACTGTCTTCTGGTTCACTCGGGGTACTTCTTTCATCCACTGTGGTGTCACTATTGGTATTCCTATCTGGCAAGTCTTCATCCTGAGGACGCATATCAAAGGCATCTTCGCTCTCTGCTTGATCAGAGAGTTCAGGGGAGAGTTCAACATACTCCATTATGCTATCTTCATCATTATCAGGATCATCCTCGGCACTCATTCCTCTTGCCTTTTTGGATGGGAATGACTTCCTGGCTTTCATAATCCTTGCTGGGCTCTGTAAGGATAATTTGGGCATCTCCGCAACCTTGTCCTTTGCACCTGCGATCTCCATTCCATTTTCTTGTGGCGCTGGACCGGCTGCTTCTTCAGTGACCTCCATCTGCTTCTCTGAGGCATCCTGCAGAACCTTTGCATCTTTCACCATCCCTGGAGTTTCCTCCAAAGTTCCTTCAGCTTTCCTGTCCTCCACATCTTGAGCATCCCCCGTCTTCTCCCCACCTTCGTCTCCACTCTTCGTACCTTCCCCAGCAACCTTCGTTAGACCCTTCCTAGCTGACCTCCGTCTCTGACTCTGTTCGCTGTCGCTGTCGCTGTCGCTGGCCTTGTCATCGGATGGCTTGGGGAGAACAGGTGCTTTCTTATCTTGACCGCCGTCTCCTTGACCCTTCTCAGCTTCCACAGGGGTTGTAGTCTTTGTAGCTTCAGAGGCTTCACCAGGAGGAGCAGTCTTGTCGGGTTTACCGGACTTGGTCTCCTCTGAAGGCTGTTCACTCACCTTGGTAACCACTTCTCCCTGCATAAACAATAAATCAAATGACATCACGTTAGTAAGCTCAAGACAAAAAATTAATTGATATATGGCCACACATTCGTAATTGGTGATGGTGGTTACTTTACCTGACTGCTAAGAAAGCATAAATGCTTGTAAGTAAGCAACCAGACGGCCGACGGCTTTAGGTCCTCTCTGAGGGACCTGGTAATGAGGATTAATGCCTTACCAAAGGGCACTAGAGCACAGACTTGGTTTCGAACCCGGGACACAGGAATACGAGACCACTGCTCTACCGACTGAGCTATCGCGCCTCCTTCAGGCAGCTCACCTTAAATCATCCATAGTTAGGCCTGAAAAAAAATGTTGCATTGCCCTTTGTTTCCACTTCACCATACAACACGGAGCTACCTGCACAGCCACTATTCGCTACACAAACATACTAACACGCAAGGTTGCGAATACATGCACATACAGGTAAAATGGGGATATTCATCTTTAACTATGACATTGGGGATATTGGAATATGAGGTGTTTTTATAAAGATTCCAATTCTTTTATGCATGTAACGCCAGATAAATAAATAAAAGTACATTTTGTCAAAGAATACTGGTAACAAAAATTTTGCCTTCTGTTTTTATGTGAGTTTACTAGACGCTGCTTATTTATCAGAATTTTAAAATCTCAGATGAAACACAAAGTAGCGCTCGGAAATTTGGCGTCTTACTATGAAAATGTGGATGTCTAAGAACTCTTCCAGGAAATGGGTAGTAGACTCCTCTAGGGTCACTTTAACCAAAATTAGCACAAAGTAAGAAAGTAATCAACTGGGGATGTCCCACAGTTGCCAGTGTATCCCCACTAGGAAGTTATATACACATGTATATGTGATTATCCCCGTTTCACACGTCTCACTAACCCACGCACACTCGCACACAAAAATTGTTTAAGCACTTTTTCATTTTAAGTTTTACGCTAAAGGTATCGACCAGTTCTGGTCATGTGATTGCATTGTGAAAGAAACATTGTGGAATCAATCAGAAAAGGTTGATCATCTAGCATATAAGTTGGGGTGTAATGCAAGGTTCTGGAATCATCAAAATTATAAGAAATTTGGCCCAGTCTTGGTAAAGTTACAAGCACTGTACACAGAAAGATGTATATGGGACTATGCGATATCTATCCATTTCAGATAGATACAATAATTTACCAAATATATTAATTAGTAGGTGGTTTCCTGGCAAAATTTGTATCATCGCGCATTAGTCAAAACATATTTTTTCACATGATTTGTAATAAGTGCTTCCATTTCAATTTTGAGGGGGATGTTTCCAAAACTGGTCTATACCTTTAAGATTTTTTTTTTGAGGCCGCCATCCTAGTCAAGCATCGCTTATGATTGCAGTCACCTGCACTTTTTCCAACAGATTACTTTGGATGATACTTTACATTTGTAATAATATGTTGTAGAAATATTAAGTTTCGTTGTTGTATGTACATATATGTAAAATAAACTAAAAATTTGAAATGAAGTTACTATTGTTAGTATATTTTGTATTATACCTTTACGTTTATATGTTTTTTGTTTTTCAGTTACCGGTATTATATTAGGAAAATGCAGAAAATGAAGAAACAAAATCAAATATGATTACCCGGTAATTTATGTTTATTTGTTTTATGAAAGATACCCAATTAATATACCGGTATATTATGAACAATTTTAATCATAAATGGTTTTTCATGTCATTTTCAGAATTTGCATTTTATTAGAACAATGTAGCATTCAAAGAAAAATATTATTGTTGCCAATTTGAAGAACTTTATGTGATCAATTTAGCCTTAAAGCCATCCGTCTCCTCAACAGGTTGGCAAAATGGAAAATGAATTTGCCAATGTGGTCTGGCGCAAGAATCAAAACTTATATTAATTTCTTAAACCCTAAAAAATTATCACCCATCAAAAATTGTAAATGAAATATTCATGATGATCACATTTCAAAATTGTAGGAAAACAATTTTATATTGATTTCAATGGTAAAAAAAAGAAGAAAGATATTGCTCAAGAAGTCAGACATAATCATTTTAAAGAGTAAAAGACTACTACGTAGGCCTACAAGACAAAAATCATGATCATATGTATATATTAATATTCATATTACATGTAAACATAACTTAAAACTGCTTTTTTATATTAATCAAATAGTAACAGACAAGTGTTTTGCTTTAGAATAACTCCATAGGAAGGGTAACATAAAACAGCAGAAGCATACAATATATTCTGCAAATGTATTCCAAAAATACATTTGCAAGTTTGAATTTTTCTTAGCCCAAACTGGCAATGAATGCAAAGAGGAAATGCTTAATAATATATGCACAGAACCTTGAAACACCTTTAAATGCCTTCCAAATGTTAACATGTATGGCTTTTTCTTCAATATTGACCTGGCTGCATAGATTAACCAAAATAGTTACTCACAGAAAGTTAATTCATTCATTCAAAAAGAAAATCATGCAATACCCGGAAGATATTTAAAACATATCTGCTATACCATATTCTATGTGAATTATTGCAATAAGATTTAGGTATACATGCAGTACCGGTACTTTTACACTGAATCCCTACAAAAACAACTGCATCTATCTTCAAAACCATGGATGTTAAAAAGGTTCCTCTATTCCAAGAAAACATAAAACAAACCATGCAAATAACTCCATTAATAAGCATTCAAATATCAACACACCAAACACACAACTGGTCAGGTGGATATTAACTATGGAAATAATATGCATAAATTTGCATACATACCACATATCTGTAAATTCTACCTCTTGTCTTCATTCTGGATTCATAAATTTACCAGAGGGACGGGACGACTGGTCTCAGCTCACTTCAAAACGGAGCTCAACACTTTATTCTCATGAAATTAATGCTAAAACAAGCAAAGGTTCAGCTCCCTAAACCAGCTCCAGTGAACATGAATGAAACTCCAAGGGCAGGCATATGGATCACAATACTATAGTATCTTTCCTCAACTGGCGGGACTTTTATTTTATTTTGGTTTTACAATAGAATCTCCCACATGTATTGACCCAGCTAAGTGTGTGTGTGCCCAGGCTTTCACACACACTCACATGCATACACTGTACAAAGGGATACCACTCAGCTGCTCTCATACACCCCTACACACACACACACATTCAGTCATTCATGAAATGCACCACACAGGGCAACACATAGCCTGGGAGTTAGCTATAAAAGGCAGCTTCCCCTCATACAACCCTGGAAACAAAGAGGACAAGGAAATTGCCAATTTAAGGAGCTGATCACTACTCTGAGAGGAGACTTGGCTCCTGTTTTTGTCTTCTGGATGAAAATGCAAGACCAACAGAAGATTAATTCATATATATGATAATGCAAGTGGGTTGCAGAACACAGACACTTGAAGATTCATGGTAGACAAATACATCAAAGTCGATTATTTAGCTGAAAAACTAGGGTAAATACAGCCTAGGGGGTGAATGAATCCATTACTGTGACAATCTGATGGTCTCTCATAGTTGCAATCAGCGGCTACTGGCAAATTTAAACAATGTCATACTAAATATAACTCAAACCATTGAAAATGCTGAAGTAAAAGAAATTTTGCCCATATCAAATATGGCATATCAATATGTTCATGTACCAGTACATGTATTTGTATGGAAATGAATAGAAAGAAGGGCAGTTGGAGGGGAGAAGTGAAACTTCCATTTAATACCAGTTTCAAGGCCATGAAGAAATGAAGATATTTTTCAATTCAACAGATAATTGTCGGTATAGCCATTTTCTTTGCTTTTCCCCCTTACAAGTTACTATCATGTTCACTTGGTAGCTCCTCGTAGGAAATCAGTAGTTGTACTGCCCTTTTTTTCCTTAATTTCTATACTGTATGAAAGGGAACGTCAAGATCTTGAGTGGAATTACAAGACGCTCAAAGTCAAGGCCCCGATACAACAAACATATACTCTCACTCATGAACCAAAGCCAAGTCAAATTGGAAAATGGTTGCCCCATCACCTCAACCCCACAACACAAAGTTGATTCAGTACCCTTCTGTTTTGAGTTTTTAAAAAAGAGAATATTTCTAAAAATTAGAATTAATGAGAACAAGAGGGACAAATTCATTAACCACTATATCATAGGTCATAAATAGTGCTGAACGAAAACACAGATACTAAAACCAACCGATTGTCTTTCTCAACTGGAACAAATATGATACCTATGAGATAAAGAGGTGATTGGTACATGTACGTAGTGTAAAATCAATAAAATAGAAACAAAAACGGACATACTTATGAATTTTTTTCTTGCCCTCATCAAAGTAAATCGCAAAACTGAACAGAAAACAGAAATCAGACAATAAAATCGGTACAAATGTAGCTAAAGAAACAAGCGCACAAAATTTTACTCCGATGAAGGCAAGACAAAAAAAAATAGTCAGTTTTTGTTGCTATTTTAAGATTTTACACTACCAATCAACTCTTTATCTGACGGGTACCATATTTTGTTACCATAGAGAAATAGAGAATCAATAAAATGAATATAATTTTTTTTTTGAATGAGGGAGAATCAATAAATATATGAAAGAGATGCTCTGTATATCAAATTTGATTTCAAGCGTCATCAAAGTTTGCGCACACGCTTATATACTATGCATGCAGCGATGTACTGATGTATGTATCCGTAAGCTATTTTTAAGTTCCTCCATTTTTGTAACGACAGCAACGAAAAACAAGAGAAAGATACTCCAAATCATATCGATGACAAGACTGAAATAATGGACAGTCCTTCTTGAAACTTTGACAAAATGATGGGCTCAGGGAAAAAATTAATATGGGGGGGGGGGGGGCTACTTTTCAAGCTTGCCTGCATATAACACTCTTAAATTTGTTTTGCATTGAACTTCATGCAAATTTACGGGAGCTCTTTTCTGATTTTCGGGGGCTCTTTTGGGCATTTCAGGGCAAATTCGCCCTGAGCCCCCGTGTATTTTTTTCACTGAATGGGCTTAACTTTAGAATACCCCACCAAAACGTAGTATGGCGGATGGTCAAACCCTATATTGTAGTCCCATCCGCTTGTATTTCAGACAAATTTTCGCACTTGCTGCTGAACACTACTAAAGAAAACTGATGTTATTATTTTGATGTTTCTACTTGCTCTTGCCCATCACAACTCAAAAATATCTTATTTTTATTATGTTCAACAATATCTTCATATGTTTTTCATAATGATTCACTCTTGAAATCGCTGGAGAATGGTGATCAATCACTGTGATTACTGTCGCAAAATAAAGTACACACACTGTATGCACAAACGACACCAGCATACCTCAGAACTGAAAAAATCTTCTGTGCGGCATACACAGCACTTGCGTTACCAAGTTACCTACAGTTCATTTAAAATTGGGCCTGAATATAACATACAGGTATTGCATGACCAGCACTTTAAACTTTCTATTTCCATTAAAGGGGAAGTCTACTCTGGTATTAAATTTGTTTTACTAAAAGCCGAAAAATGAGAGAAACAAATCAGTGAAAGTTCATTTTTAAATAGGAAAGTTATTAATTTTCAAGTTGTCATCAGTGAAACACAAATTGGCAACACTGTCATGTATCTTGCTTGCTCCTTTCCAATTAGCTCTATACAAAAAATGTAATAAACTTTAATATTCTAAATTATTAATGACGTAATAGATTTTTTCTTACAGGGGTTGTATAAAAGCATATTTGTAATAGTTATATTCAGGATGAATATATCATTTACAATTTTCTGTAAAGAATTCATAACTTTTTTTTTAAGTTTTAGTACGATACGCACGATACGTCACAGAGTTCAAAACTTTCTTATTTTGAATCATTTCTTGCTCAGACTTTCACTGACCAGTTTCTATCATTTTTCTGCTTCTATTAAAACCATCGTAATAATATCAGTGTTATTAAGGGTGCATATTATGTGAAATACAAGCAAATTCATGACTTCACAAATCAAATTTGGTTTAGAGGACATAATTATTTTATCATCCCCATCATCATTTATCAATGTCAGCATTTTCCCTCTTACAAGGGGTTACTGACTTTCACGCCAAGATGACACTTCCTCCCTCCACTTCTTCTTTTCTCGAGCATATCCTCCTCAGTGAGACAAAACTGACTGCTTTCTTTTTAAAGCATATCTTTCCATGAAATCTTTGGCTTGCAAATCCTAGACAGGAGTTTTTATATATATTAAATATTAAAATCTAAGATTCCCAAAGCTTTTCAAAATAGAACATTAATATTTTAATGCAAACCACTTTTGAGTGTAGATAATAATGGAAGTACGGTTATAGAACGATGAGCACCAAATGCCCCCTCACTCAAAGAAGTTGTTTTTAATGGAAAAAGGGAAAAATCAGTCCAACAGATTTGTTATATTTCAAGTTGGGAAAAATCAAAACTTAATATAAAATTGTTATCTTCAATAATGAAGTTAACAATAGAAGCAAAATGGCAGGTCAATAATGAGTTTGTATCATCATTCTAACTCTTCTTACAAATTGCATTAATGCATTGCATACTTTTAATATAATTTCCCATATTGTCCCCGAGAAGGTTATTTCCTCATGCCTTTGCCCAGTTTAAACTGATGCAAATGCAATTCCATGGGTTCATCACGTTCTTCATATATTACGAGTACCAGTACTACTTTTTTTCCTTAACCAAGAAACCAAACAACCAACTAATATACAAACAAAACATTATCATTCTTGGTTTGTTTATTCATAAATATATAAAGGTCTGATTTAGATAAAATTAGGAATTTCCATTTTTGCATGTTTTGGAAATAAAGATGTTATTATAATAGTGCAAACATGAAGAAGCATATCCCCATCAATAGACTTAAAGGAAACCTGAACTCAAGAAATAACTGTGGTTAGTCTAAGATCTATATGTATTGTATTCATGCCTCTTGACAGGGCTGGGACCAAAAACCAGGTCCTTCCCGAGAGTCATCGGTCCCAAGTAAAAAAAAATTAGACACACGTTTCCAGAAATTAGATTTCAATGACAAATATGCCCCTTAAATATCTCTTTTTCAACAACAAAATTACACATGCATATCTGGGCTCAGATCAGTATATTCTCTCATTTAACATTATTTTCAACCAATTTTGGAGATGTTTAGTGCTAATATCACACCCTAAAATGTCAAAATCTGGTGTAAAAGTAGAAAGAGAACATGCAAGCGGCCATTTTGAATCACTAGTGCATAAAGAAGACCAAAGACTTGATGCATGGCTGATCGTCAACGAAACGGAGTTAATTAGTCTTTTATCAACTGTTTGTCAGGCAGCAGGTGAAAACGAATTTGTTAATCAAATTATGGAAATGCATACATGCCAACATTTGAAAATCAGAAATCTGTACAAATTATGCTATTTTCAAAAAAAAGAGGAACAATCCTAACTCTCTTATTCAATACTACAGACAAATTTGTACAGGAAGAGGAACACCTGCATTAAAATGATAATTATCTTCTCCCAAAAAGAGGAATGTTCCTCTTTAATCTGAACAGTTGGCATGTATGGAAATGCAAGCATTACTTTTAACCAAAAGAACTTTGTTATTCCTGGCTCATTTTTCCTGATTGAGGTGTCATATGAACGGGCAGAAGATGAACCTTTTAGAAATTTGATTTTCTTCTTTGTCAACTCTGCTTGTTGCTACGGCAAGCAGCCAGTGAAAACGAATTCATTTAGTCAAATTATAGAAATACAAGCATTACCTTAAACAAACAGAACTCTGTTATTCCTGGCTCATTTTTCCTGATTGAGGTGTCATATAAAAGGACAGAAAATGAACTTTCTAGAAATGTGATTTTCTCTTTGAAATTCAGATACCGCCCTAAAAATGACTTTTAGTTTCCTCTCTTCAAATTGTTTTTAATCACTCATGCATGAAATCTGCATCATATGAGTTGCATCAAATGAAAGAGGAGAATCTAAGCTTTACAGATATGTGTCTCTTATTAATTATAATTGTGATTAAGACATTTATGACAGTTATGATAAAACATCAATAATTCTCAGTTTTGTTTATTCTGGGACGCA